ACAATTTCCAGGATGCTAAAAAGGTCCAGGCCACAGAACAGGAGCTGGAGCATAGGGAGCTTTCCAGCCAGCTCTCCCTCAAAGCTTTTTTTCACGAGCTAGACCAAAATTAAACAGAGTTACAACGAGAAGTTTAATTGATGCTGAGGGATTTAGTTGTAGTGACCTCATATTTACGCCCTTCTAGGAGTAGCTGGTTTGCGCACAGGAGGTTACGCCCCAGGCAGAAATGCCTTTTGTGTTTACCCGCAGCTGGGTAACAATGCACTAGCAGTTTAGCGTCACTGAAAGTTCCTGGGCTTCCCGCACTCGGCTCTCCCCGTGGCGCGCCAGGGCAGGCAGAGGGGGTGGGGGAAAGCCGGCCTCCCGCGCACGACCCCCCGGCCACCGCAGGACTCCGGGTGACCCCGTGGGTCCCTTCGCGGGCGGCACGCGCGAGGCGGGCGGCGTTGGGGAGGAGGTGCGGGCTTACCCCTGCAGCTGCTGCTTCTGGTGAACCTGCAGCCTCGAGCCCCCGCCGCTCTGGGTCTCCTGCGGCACTTTGGAGCGCACGACTTGCCTGCCTTGTTTGGCGAACGGGGCGGCCGCCGGGTGTCCGCTGGGCTTGGGGTGGAGCTGCCCGCTGGGGCCCCCGGGGCGCGCTGGCTCCGGCGGCGGTGGCGGTGGCGGCTGCAGCCCCTGCAGGGCCGGGCCGCCCGGCTTGCTCGTGCGCCGGGTCCGCTCCGAGGGAGGATCCGGGGAGGCGCGGCTGGGGGCGCCGGCGCCCGCCGAGCTGCGTCCGTACCTGGCGTTGAGCGCGACGTTGAAGGTCCGCGGGCGCGGGGGCCCGCCCAGGGGCGAGGCGCCCGCCGCCAGGCCGGGGCCCGGGCGCACCACGTACGTGATCCTCCGCACCCGGCCGTGCACTGACGCCGCGAGCAGCCCTGCCCAGAGCAGGAGCCCCCACCTGAGCCAGGCCCCCGCCATCGCGGGCCCCAGCCGGCGCGACCGGCCGAGCGCGGTCCGGCCCCCGGCCCTGGCCGTGCGGCTCGCCCGGTGCGGCCGCCCTCGCCCTTCGCCGCGCGCTCGGGCTCCCTGGCGATCTGCCGAGAGCACGGCAAAGGCGGGAGGAGGCCAACGCGGCCGCGGGAGAGGAAGTTCTGCGGGAGGCTGAGCGGCCCCAGACCCCGGCAGCCTGTGGCGGGGAGGAGGGGGCCGGAGTGGGGGTGGGGAGCGCGGAGCCGGGAGGGGCGGGGGAGGGGAGCGGGCTGTGCAAGGTGAGGGTCCGCCCGGGCCGGGGGCGCGGCGGCGGGTGCCGGCGAGAGCGGCGAGGCGAGCGCGAGCGCGCGGGACGCTCGGAGGCAGCTCGGGGCGCAAAGTCTTTTAAAAAGTTGCTCTCCCGTGGAACCGAGTGTCAGATCCGAACAGCCAATCTCCGGCAGACGTGACGTCAGGCGTAGATCCTAATTGGGGAAGCGCGAGCCGAGCCCGAGAACACGCCGCCACCCTCCGCATCCCTGGAGCCTGTTACCCTGGGTCTCCGAGGCGGAGGTCCCCACGCTGTGCGCCCGTGGCCCGGGAGAGGACCAAGGGCTCACCAGTTACTCAACGATCTTTTCTTTCTAGAAGCCCCAGAGAATTCGTTTCTTATTGATTGGAAATCCGGGCGTTTTCTTATCCATGTTTGAGCGGATAACTCGGTGTGGGGGTTAGATTCAAATACCATATCGTGCCCCAGAAAGGACGGTCCAGGGTGCGCGGAGTTCTGCATCGCAAACCGTTACAGTTCTGTTTGGGACTGTAAACTGACGGTGACTTTCTGGGTCTGCAGCCTCTGGTACCCTGCTCCTCGCCTGGCAGGTACGAGAGTGAGGGCGGGCAGCAGGGGGCGCCCGCGTAAACCGGGAAACCCGCCTTGAACCGCAGAACCAACCCTGCCCTTGGACATTTAGGGTGGGAGTACAGAGTTCAGGACCTAAGACAGCCCCAAGCCATTATTATTAGTATTTGAAAAATATTGGATCAGTTCCCTGGACCCCTATCCGACAGAGTCACTTAGCTTGGAGATGACCTTATACCACATTAAAGGAGATGGAAGATGTTCCAGGGGACAGAGTCCCTGGAGGGTCATAGTGCTAAGAATGGTTTCTTTCCAAGGCTTTGGTTGTTCTCATTCTTATTTCTGGCTTATTCTTTTGTTGTGTTGTCTGGCTGCATTAGCTAGTAGACACTTGGTAGCAGGTGACAATGGTTTACGAAGTATCAATGGAAAATCATTTAAAGTTGAGGAAACTTAATCCACTAATCTATTTTTTTCTGTACTTTGCAGAAAGTCCTCCAATATTTGATTTGGCATGACAGGGCTTTGGTCCAGCTGCATGAGCGCCAGCTTCCTGTGAGAGCACAGTCTGAGAACCATTGTGGTAGAATAAATAGCCTTGGACTGGAGGGAAAGTTCCGGTCCTAACTCTCCCTCTGATTAGTTGGAAGACCATAGGCAGTTCACCTGTCCTACCTGAACCAAATCTTCCCCTCCATTACATAGAAAAGTTGTATCAAAAGTCCCTTTCAGCCCTGAGCCCCTCCGGATAGGCTCACTCTAGGTCAGCCTCACTCCATTCTCAGCTCAAGTGAACCAGCTGAGAATATTGAGGTGGGAGACTGGTGGCACTGGATTTTGTAGGAAGGATACAAATGTCTTCTCTGAAAAAGGCACAGAGGTTGATGCTCTGGAAATACAAAGTATTGGGAGGCTGAACATCTTTGTCTTTGGAAAACTTCCTGTCTGGTTAGGAAGAAAAGATAAGAATAAATGGAAAACTTTTTAAAAAGATAAATAACAACCGAATTAAGAAACACGTTGAGATACTAATAGAACTCTGTCAAGAGAGGACCTGATGTCTGTATTACAGGATAGTCCATAGTTCTTTTGTTAGCAGGATAAAAATTCACAACATATAAGGAAAACATTTCCTACTTGCAACTCAAAGTAGTCTACAGAAATCTTCCCTCTGGTGATTAGGGGGCAGCAGTTAGAATGGATGGGGCATGGGAAGGGAGCAGTCTAGCTGAGCTAACAAAATTCTGATGAGCCAGGACAGGAGGGGAAAGATGTCGGTGGAAGGTCGGGAAACGGTAAAGAACAACATCCCCAACAGGACCGGGAATGTCACTAGTCTTGGGTGGTGGGTGAACTGTTCTGTTGGATGAGTCATGGGCCCCAGGTGGAGAGACGGTAAACATCAGAGCTGCTTTTTGTAGTAAAGAGGCAGCTACCTGCAGAGGGCACTGCCTGGACTAGGCATCTGGGGAGCTGGTCTCTGGCTGCTGCTTTCCTTCCCATGAGAACTTCGTAAGTCATTTCACCTCCCTAAGCCTCGGTTTCCAGAGGACCTGGAAATCTGCCTGAGATCCTTGTGTTGTGGAAGATAGGGGAGATGACCTTTATCATGTTCTATGGCTTCACAGAAAAATGTTTTCACAATATAATATAATACTGACCTCCAGCAGTGGTGATTTCACACCAGTGTTCAACCCAGTTACAACCTGCCTTATGACAGATTTGGATAGGTTACAATCAGATCATCTCTGAAACATAACCACAGGAAAATATCTCCAGTGTCCGTGTCAGTCCCATCCCTCTGCACACGTTTACATGCATGTGTGTGTGCACTCAGCCACCAGCGTGGAAACAGACACGTGAGTAAGCAGCTCCACTCTCCAGCTGCAAGACTCTACCAGTCACAGTTTTCCACATCAGTCTCTGGCTATTTCCATAACTAGCAAGACAATCCTTGAAAAATGTGTTATGTGGCCCATGTACTATCATATGAGATGGTCACTCATCTAAAACGCTGAACTCACCATTATTCTGAAAGCGAAAGCCCAGTTTCTGTCAGGCGTGAGGACAGGCCTTTGCCAAGTCAAGACCCAGTTTAATGCCATGCATCCTGGACCCAAACCCCTGTAGGGTCCAAGGTCCATTTATATTGGCACTACACAACTTCCTGGTTCAAAAAAACAAGTCTTTAAAGAGCTCATAAAACGTCTTGGACTTCACATGATTTTTACAAAACAATACTCAGATGAGCTAAGTGTAAATGAATCAGAAAAGAGGATTATGTTTCCCATAAAAACTCATGAGTTTGAAGATTAGAGGAAGAAAGAAAGGCTGGCAAATGCCAAATGTTTTAAAGCGCTTTGAGACCATTAGTCAAACGCAAAATGCAGCCAGGTTCCCTCATCTTTACACTTTATGAGTTTTGTAATTGAAAATCTTTTCCTACATTTAAGATCAGCTACAAATCAAATTTAGTGGCTGCTTGTGATCAGAATGGCTTCCACCCATGTTTTCTTCCTGCCAAGGATTTCGTGGAGCCCCTTTTAGTCTTCTGGGTTCATGAAGAAATTCTTAAAAAGAAAAAGAGAGAAGAAAAAGAAACAAGAAGTCAGTAGGCTGCAGATAAAAGGAAGAGAAAGAGAGAGTAAGAGACATTGAGGGCCAGAGGGAAACAACGGTAGAGGGTAGGCCGGGAAAATGAGTGAGCTGCAGAGCAGAGGGAGGATGGGAAGGTGGACAGAGGCCAAGAAGAGGACTGGATGGACTATGGGAAAGGGAAGGAAAAAGGGAACTGACCAGTAGGAGAAGAGGAAAAGGAAGAGGTGAAAAATGAAACATAAAGAGAGAAAATGTTCAACAGAACCTGTAGTTACATTTTCTCCAGGTGCTCACCAGGATTCTGGCAGCCTTTTCTGCTCATCAGCTAGTTCTAACCCCAACATCAGCCTGTTCAGCTTTGGGCCAGAATTAAACCTGCAAACTTGTTAGAGGCTAGACTAGCATGGCTGGCTGCCCCAGACCTCACACAAAGCGAGAGGCCTAGGAAACTTCATGGTCTCCTCAATCGGGAGGCCAAAGACATCAGCTTCAGGTCAAGACTGCCCACAGACGGGTCCCTCATCACTCACAGTCCTCTCTCGGGCTCTCTCTTTGTACTTTCAACCATTTCATTGAGAAGTAGATACTTACCTGGCAGGGGAGATGCCATGATCATGAAGGTGGATAAGAGTGAGGCTTATCCATTGCACTCCTGATGTACTGACCCCTGCGATTTCCCCAAATGTGGGAAACTCGGCTGCATAATTTGTGGTGGTGGTGGGGGGACTGCATTTGCACTTTCCCCTGATAAAAAAAAAAAAAAGAAAAGTGGAGTTGAGAGAGGTTAGAATTTATGACCTCCTCCACCCTGACCTCTGTGTCCATGAGAAATGTAAAGAACCTTTAGAAATGAAGAATTATGGCCAAGATGCATGTGATGAAGATGTCAGTATCTGTCTGCCAAGCTATAAGGTCGAGATGGAGACAGGTCTGCTTTGCAGAAAAAGGCGAGGCACCCTTTGGAATAGAGCCACAGTTGAACTGGGACTTACCCCAGCATTTCCCTTCCCAGAAAGCACCTTTAGTTGTTATTCAACAAACATTTATTAAACAACTAGAGGCCCTCAGCTAACCTAGATAGAACCTTACTGCAAATTCAAAACAAACTTCCATTTTAGATGAAGTTAGAATTACTCGGTCATTAGATTGCAACACAGAGTTGCCCCTGGGCCAGCACGTGCCTCGTGCTAGCCCTGAGCTCCTGGCTGTGGCCATACCTCTGTCTTCTTAAAAATGTAGAAGAGCCAATCAACAAAAGGGAGCTCACTAAAAATAAAGTTCTGTGTACACAGTGTCCCCTTGTGATAATTCTGTTCCCCTTTTCAGCTGCCGTGTGTACAATCCAGATAAGTCACACAATGAGGGCTGCTGAAGACAACAGAATGACTCTGCCCCTGGTCAAAATCGGTTCACTTATTTTGCTCTCACTGTTATTTTTCTTATCCATTTATTCAGAACTTTGGAACTTTAAACAGGAATCTACATAATAATTAAATTGTACTGACACTTGTCAGTCATACCCTCCAAGTCTAATTGGGCCATTGGCTGGTCTCAATTCAAGGAAACACAAAGAAAACATGTTCCTGCTCTCAAAGAGTTTGCATCTCAGAAAACACTTTGATATACAATAAACTGCGATGAAGTTCAACAAAGAAATCTACAAAACACTTGCCTTTCGATCACAGAAAGTCTCCAGATTACTTTCCATTCACTCTGGTAGACCAGTGTGAAATACTTCTTTGACCTTCCAGGCATTCCACAGAACTTTTCCTAGTTTCCCCACTCAAATTTAAGTTCAAAGATGCCCAGGCAGCTGCAAGTTTGACTGAGTATCAGGTAGGCAATAACATCCTCTCCAGTCAGATACAACTACCCGTAAATTATGATCCTACTTTAAAAGGAACCTCCCACTTTGCTTCTGATTCACTGTTTTCCATGGTGTTGAATTGCTGGAATTACTTCATTATGTACATTGTAGGACATTAGTAATTAGAATTATTTCTTTTATCTACCTTAGAATTTTTGCCCAATAGTAATAGAACATGGCACTAATTTAACCCTTGATCCTATTTCTTTCTAAAATTGTGTACCTCCCATCAAATTGATGAAGACACTATATAGTGAAAAAAGCAGCCTAATAAAAAACAAGAAAACAAGACCACCCATATGTATTAATTCCCCTCCTGTCTGCTCTGCTGAGACCCTAAGCCCTTCATTGGTTGTCACCTTTTCACTTTTTCTACCTAATCGTGGGTTACTCCCTCAAAGAAACCTTTTGTTCCAACTACTTTTATTTACCTATTTCTTCTTCTTTCTCTTTGGAAGGAAAAAAAAAGACCCTGATCAATCACTAGTGGCAGATTTAAGACACCCAGAGCCCTGTCTCTGTTTCCCTCCAAATCATTCTCACGAAATGCCCTCGCCCCTTCAACTAAGTCCTCCTCCTCTTTCAAATAGAACTCAGGATTTTTTTTTTTTTTTTGAGACAGTCTCACTATGTCACCCTCAGTAGAGTGCCATGGCGTCACAGCGCACAACAACCTCAAACTCTGGGCTCTTGCCAAGTAGCTGGGATGACAAGGTACTCACCACAACGCCTGGCTATTTTTTGGTTGTAGTTGTCATTGTTATTTGGCAGGCCCAGGCTGGATTCGAACCCACAAGCTCCAGTGTATGTGGCTGGCACCCTAGCCACTGAGCCACAGGCACTGAGCCAGAATTCAGGATTTTTTCCTTCCATGAAACTCTTTGGAGCACCTTAAGCCTCAGTTTATTCTCTTTTCTTACCTCTTATGATGTGTATTACCCATCCTAGCGTCGAAGACACAATCCATGCTTTGTGTTAGACATAGAACATTTTTGGCAGGGTAAACTTTCTTTTCTTCTTGGTTATAGTAAGATAAACCAGAATGAAGGTAAATTGTGTTAATAATGCTTTAGGTTTGCTTACAACATTCTGACTTGTCTTTAGCTGTTTGCAGGAAGAGTTCCACTGAGCAATGGGATTTACCCATATTTCACCCTAACCTGAATTACTTTGCTTTACCCAATGGTTCTCAACCTTTCTAATGCCTCCTAATGCCATGACCCTTTAATACAGTTCCTCCTGTTGTGCTGACCCCCAACCATAAAATTATTTTCGTTGCTACTTCATAACCGTAATTTTGTTACAGTTATGAATTGTAATGTAAATATCCGATATGCAGGATGTATTTTCATTGTTGCAAAGAGGTCGAGACCCATAGGTTGACAACTGCTGCTTTAACTGAATCTAGCAGTGGACCTGTGTGTGTGTGTGTGTGTGTGTGTGTGTGTTTGAGGGGTGAGGAGGTCATATCCCTGAATTAAGGTTTGAGGGTGGGAGAAGGGGAGAGCAGAGAGAGGGACAAGGGAGGAGAGTTGGGGGTCATGATGTATGACCCGTCTTTTGGTGGCATGACACTATTACAAGAGGGACTTACCTAACAAATGCAACCAATGTAACCTGGTTCTTGTATCTTCAATGAGTCCCCAACAATAAAAAAGAAAAAAAGAATATCTCAAGATTCAGACCAAAAAAAAAAAAAAGGTTTGAAAAGTTCTACAGAGAAAAATTTGTTACAGTTGTGAGTGAACGCTGTTATATTGACAGAATTATGTAGTTAAAATAGTGCTTTTATAACATCTCTCTTTTGCTGTCCTCCCCACCTACTCCATTATTGCAGACCAAGACATACTCTGATAAGGAACTAGGAAAGATCAGCATAATATGGACACACTGAGCAACAAGCAGGGGTTTCTCACACCACCAAAGGAACCCCAGCCGTGCAGGGAAAGGCCTGGCTTTCTAAACAGAGAGGGGAGACCAGTAAAACCAGCCCAGTGTCTGTGATTCCTCCAGGTTCCCTAGTTTTAAAGCCCAGGTTTAAAAAGCTGCTGCCAAGAGTGATCAGGTTACATTTGCCAGCTGCCAAAGAAATGTATGCTTAACCCTTTCCAATCCTCCACCTGGACCTTACACTCGCATTTCCTTACTAGAAAAGGCATCTCTCTGTCTTTACTTTCCCCCGTGTCTTCTTCCCTACATACGAGTAATAAGCCGAAGCACCAGGTGAAGCTGCCTGGGCCACTTTGATTTCCATGCCTCAACCGCCTCTCTGGAGGTCTGCATTAAGGGAAGAGACTTGTGTGTGTCATACTCCCGGTGTCTAATGCAGGATGTGCCATTTATACTAAATGCTCAGTGTTAATTAAATGAACAATGGTGTGCCTTCAGGTGCCTAATCGCAGTGGGTCATCAGCAGTAAGACACCTTTACCCAAGGTGCTTAAGTTGTCAAGAGGCTGAAGACTGATTCTTTGACATTGACTCACTCCTCACACATGCATTATTCACTAATTGATATTCATTATTCACTGGCCATTTTTGAGGGCCAATTGTTTTTCAGCTAACAAAGAATCGGGAAAGAATTTCAGACATTTTTGCTTTAGGGGTCTAATAATGTTCCTAATTAACTAGACCCGGGGATTCTATCTGAAAGTTGAGGAAATAATCTTTACAAGGTGTGATATCAACCGATGGATAAACAGAATCTCTTCTAATTGCTGCAAGAATTATCTGCTGCAGAAAATCATTGCCAGAAAACCTACACGAGTACCTAGAACAGTATCCGTAGAATACGTTGTCAAGAGCACAAACTGTGGAATCAAATGGCCTGGGCTCAGTTCCCAGTTGGACTCCTAAGAATGGGAGTGAACTTGGGGGCATAGGCCCATGTTCTGGATGAGTCTAGGATAGGCTTCCATTCTAAGGGGTCTGTTAAAGGCTGTCATTTCATTTCACTTTATGGTTCAACACACAGAATGATTTATCAGCGGTTATGAAGTGCTTCCTGGTAAACAGGTAATCAAAGTTTCCCCAAACTGATGAGTCTCTTGTGTTTTTCATTTGGCAGAGCAAGGCCACAGGGCCACGGTTTCCACGGACAGACCTGGCTGAAAGGGGATTAAGAGCAGAGATGGAACTGGAATCTTCAGTTTTACAAAGGAGGACAGTGGCAGGAAGAGAAAGGAAAATCATTCAAGTTCATTCACTGAGCACTTACAAAGGCCCGGGAAAGGGATGGGCGGGGTGGGGTTCTGCACCTACCATCGCGGTAGGGGGGAGGGGCTCTCTAAGTGCTTGCCTTCACAACTAAAAAAATGGCATTCTGTGAGTTAATCAACCACATAGTTTTGTAAGCTTCCATTTTGATATCTATGAAATGAGAAGAGCACCTAACACAGACTTCAGCAAGCTTTTTCTGAAAAGGACTAGGTAGTAAGTATTTTCAGTTTTGTGGCCTGTGCAGCATCTGTCACAACTACTTAGCTTTGTTGTTGTAGCATGAACATAGTAGCCACAGACGATACACAAGGAAGGGGTGAGGGCAGATTTGATCTGCAGGCCACAGCTTGCCATTCCCTGGTCTAATCCCACGTTTTAATACATAGGGTGTTGTGAAGATGAAATGGCCTAATCCAGGTGACATACTTCAGTACAGCATGTGCCAGGGAATGTTCAATAAATATTAGCTGTTCTCATTGCTGTGATTTTAGTCTCTCACATCTGTATTTGCCGCCTTTGTTCACTTTAGTGAATAAGCTAATCCTCGGTGTGTTCCTGGGAAGATACTTCCAGCCTTCTCGTTCATGGGCCCATGGTGAGTGTCACAGTTGGGTTCTCTAAGAAGAACCCTGAGGTGGAGTTTAGCGTACAAGATGTTTATT